TTTGTGTGCGTGTGAGAGAACATGTGTGTGCGTGAGAACGTGTGTGTGTATGTGCGCATGTGAGAACGTGAGTGTGTGTGTATGTGCGTGTGAGAACATGAGTGTGTGTGTGCATGCGTGAGAACGTGAGTGTGTGCGTGCGCGCGCGAGAACGAGTGTGCGCATATAAGAACACGAGTGTGTGTACGTGTGTGTGTATGAGAACGTGTGTGCGCGTGTGAGAACGTGTGTGTGCATGTGACAACGCGAGTGTGTGTGCATGTGAGAACGCGAGTGTGTGTGAGAACGTGTGTGTGTGTGTGTGCGTGTGCACGCGCGCGCACATGGGAGAATGTGAGAGGGTGAGTGTGTGTGTTTGCCTGTGTCTGTGTGTATCTGTGTGGAGGGGGAAGTTTTACTTTGACCTCTATAGAGAGACTGGTATGAAGTTCTGTAGCAATCTGATCAAAGCGAGCCTTGTGAGATTAACTGGGTGGGTCTTCAACAGGCTAGCAGATTCCCAATGGGCTGAAGTGCCTGCACTCCAAATCTCAGACATTAAGATTTTGTCAGAGCACCAGGAAATGGACACACCACCCTGGGAAACAGACAACACAAACCCCTCCCCAGTCAAAGGTGTGTCCATCACAGTCTCTTATCCTTGAATCGCCACCCAGAACATTGTGCCAGGGAACTGAGCTCTTCCCAATCCAGCAATGGGTGGAGAAGACATATCAATAACCAAAATATGGCACTAATCGGGAAACAGACTGCTGGACACAGCCTTGTTCAAACAGGAATGGGAAATGGGACAGTGCAGAGAAAATATCTGTATCTAACCCCATGCTGTCTCTGTTCTGGGAACGTTTGATGGAGACTTGGCAAGAAGCATTTACTTTCAGTTTCAAAGAGTAGAGGGTAATTTAATCTGTATCTAATGCTGCGCTATACCTGTCCCAGGAGTGTTTGATGGTGACAATGTAGAAAGAGTTTTACTTTCAGTTTAAAGGAGTTAAAAGAGCTTTACTTTGAATGTACTTCCAGTTAAAGAGAGTAGTGAGAGCTTGACTCTGTATTTAACCCCGTGCTGATCCTGTCCTAGGAGTGTTTGATGGGGCAGTGTCAAAGGGTAGAGGGAGCTTTATTCTATTTCTAACTCTGTGCTGTCTCAGTCCTGGCAGTGTGTTTGATAGAAGCAGCTTTACTTTCAGTTTAAAAGAGTAGGTGGAGATTTACTCTGTATCTAACTCCACATTTAGCTGCTTAGACACTGGGTCCCAAAGGGAACAGTATTTTGTTTTACATTCAAAACTCCCCGATTACAAAAGCAGTTCATCATCATCATCTGAAGATGGTAATGATGTATACGACTCCATTCTGTCTTACCTTGTGTTTGGGACATTTCATTGAGAAGTTCTCTTCATTCAGAAAACAACCTGGAAGGAGAGAAATCTCAATATCAGCAGTGACTCGATAACGCCACACCTTATAGTCCAATAGCTGATCAGGAGTTACACTGGATAACAGGGGACTGGCAGGGAGTAACGCTGAGTAAAGGATAGGACTGGCAGTTTGCAACACTGAGCAATGGAGGCTGTCAGAGAGTTACTCTGGGGAATGAGGGTCTAGGAATACACTACATGGGACAGTGGAGGGTCTGGCATGGAGCTACGTTGGACAATAGGTAATGAGCTAGACTGAGACATGGGGGCTGGTAGGGAGTTACTCTGGACACTGGGAGTGGGTGGGAGGGAATTCTGGGGAGTTACACTGGACAATGGGGTGACTTGTGAATGAGCTGCACTGGACAATGGGAACAGGGACAGAGTTACATTGGACAATGGCAGGGTTAGCAATGGGCCACACCAGGTATTTGGGGTCTTGCAGTGAGCTACACTGGGCAATGAGAGCTGGCAGTTACTTACACTGCATAGTGTCATACTGGCAGGGGAATGTGGGGGAATGGTGGTTCAGAAATAGCTATACTGACTAACAGGGGACTGGTAGGGAGTCACACTGGACAATGGGTTGGGGATGGGGAAGCTGGACGTCAGGGAGTCACACTGGG